TAACTCTCTTTTCCCGTGATAGAAATACTCATATATTTGTCTTTGTATTTTAGTTTCAATTTTTCTTAGCCCTTCAGCACAAAGTCCCTATTCACATGCCCCCAGATTAAATCTATCTCCCCCCTCAGTTCTATACCAGTTTCATTACAGCACAACTGTTTAAACTTTTAATAATTTAATGTGAACTCATCCAGCTGCCTTTACTTTGTTTCCCGGAGGTGCTGCAAAGTTTGGACTTTCAAGCAAGGAACAGGCAGCCAAGAGTTCCAGCTTTGCTCAGTGACTGTTTTATTGTGCAAATCCATGAAATGGTCAGTAACGGAAGCCCACAGTAACACTTTAACAGCATAAACGTAACACGGCTACAGAGATGTGAATTAGTCTTTCTTCACCCACATGTACCATATTAGCTGGCAGATCATGAAGGCAGATTTTCTTACACTCAAATTTTCTGGGCTGAGTCAATGTCTAATGCTTTTAATTCTCATGTCACTTTTTTTGTAACATATTATTGATGTCTCTTAACATTCTCTCTTCTTCAGGGAACAGTTTGTATTATATTGCACCACACGCAGTATCAGTGAAAATGAGTATTTCTTACTGGGGCAGTCATGCTGAGGAGCAACTGAAGCCATCTGTAGTCTTGGGGCTCAGGCACCAGGGTATCTGCTTGTTTTGAACTGTATTTTTGGAATTGTTAAATATAGCAAACTTTGTCAAGTGTGTTTGACAAGACTTTCCACGTTTGTTTTTTCTGCAAGTACAATTCAACAACATACTCTGTTTGACTGAATTTTCAGATTGCAGCCTGCATTCACCTGCTTCACAGTGACACTGTGAACTCGCTAAGCCTGCTTTAGAGGAGACAGCTGGGAAGCTGCTCAGACGCAGCTATTTTTAAAAAATATTTATTGCTGTGAATATCTGGTACAACTATGAAATCCTGCTGTCTTCTACCAATGCACTCTCCTGCTCTAGTCACAACTTAAAGCACATGCTTTGCTATTTTTGTCCTACATTTCTCACCATTAAACTATTTGTAGTCTGTTAATGGGTCTTGGGGATGTTAAGACTAACAGACAGACAACAAATCCGGTTAAATCAACGGTGTAATCCGAATTAATCTAATCCTTCAAATGTCAAACAGTTCCAAATACCCTTTCGAACAATCACTTTCTTCTTGCTGAGAGACTAAGTCTTTCTGCGTAGCTAAATGAGGCTCATTTCTTTGAGAAATAGGTGAGCAGACCCGCATCCATTCTGCAACCCTCGCACAACGTTCAAAGACTCCAGCTCCCCTCTTACCTGTAATTGGGTTGCTATATTACGGTTCTCTTTTCAGCTAGAATTTCAAGCTTATTTTGTTTGCAGTATGTTATGACTTACTTTCAACTAGAATTTCAGGGTCGGCGTATACACTATTGCAATATTTCTATTATGGACAAATCATAGCTCTTCCAAAGCATAATTAAGGTACTTCATTTTTAATATATGACCTATGTTAGGGAATATTTCCAAACACATTATTAGGTCTTTTCAAAGGCCATGAATATAACTTGCTGCCAACAGCAGTAATGTATAAACCATAATCCATCACAGCAGAAATCAAGATGCTGACAGAGCATCAGGCCTCCTATTCTAACTGCACAATAGACAGAACGACTCTCGAAGCTGAACAGCACAGCCAGTCAATCAATATATATTAATATTAATACTTGTATTATAGTAGTGCCTGCAGCAGCCACCAAGAACCTGCGGTGCAAGGCACCGTACAAATACAAACAAGCAGCCCATGCCCAGAAGGGTTTACGCCTAAGCAGGTGAAACAGAGAAAGCCAATAAAGGTAAGAAAGACACAAAGGAATGAAACATGGCCGAGCCTACCAAACAGGGCAAGGTCACAGGGATCAGCTCTCCTGATGCCTAAATATGGTGCCCTTCTTGGTGAAATAAAGATTGACGGCTTGTGGGTCAAATTTTCCCTCCAAAAGTTAAGTTTTCACTTTTCCTCAATTGTTCAGGTGAAAAGGGTAATTAACAGAACAGGTAACACTGGTCTCCCAAACGAACTGACCTGAACAACAATTTAATAGGTCAAAATTTTACAAAGTTGTTCTCAAAAGGAACACAAGCTCCTACCTCCAGCAACCTCAGTGCTTCTATTACAACTGTGCCAGACCCTCAAATCCTGAGACACTTGAGTGTGACTTAGGAAAAATTATCAAACAGGCACAGACAAAGGTAAGTGAAAAAGATGAAGAGCAAATGGTTCAGATTTAGTGTCTGAAAAGGGGCAGTCGCAATTATTCACAAGTAAACTGATGCTTAAGTCAAGAGTAAAGAGTATTTCGCAGCGTCCGCGCAGCCCTCCGGCACGCTCGCAGCCAGCGGCACGCGACATCACTGGGGCGGCGCAGCTCTGTCGTCCAGCTACGGACAGCAAAGCGGAAAGCTGGAACACCGTGCTCCGACCTCGGGAGCCTGCCTGCGCCAGCGAGGCAGGAGCTCTCTCTGCTCTCGCCCCTCTCACGGACTGCGAGACGCTCCGCGCAAGAGAGTCGCGAGGCCCGTGCAGAGCACCGCGAGCACAAATTCACAGCTGCTGCTGCGATGAGGAGGGAGATCAGAGCAGCGTATGCAAAGTTCAGAAGAGATGGCGTGCACATCGCTACAGTCACCGAAACACTGACATTTACTTACGCCTCTTCTGCAAAAGGTGGTGCAAAACACGTACTAACATACAACAGCAGTTTGCTTCTCCAGCCAGCCTTCTGCTGGGATTGGAATTACATCCGTATGTAGGTCCCATTTTTAGTCACTATCTCGGCTGTGAGTGTGCAGAACAGCTTGTGTCCGTAAGAGCAGAGAAACATGGCAATCTTGTATGACCTTGTGAGCACAGCAGCAAAGCCTGGGGAGCCAGAGGAGCACCCAGAGGATAACAGAAGAGAGGAGAATATACGCACACATGTACCGGAGAAGCTAAAACACCACACCACCACTTAGGCTGCAAGCAACAAACCGAAACCCGAGTCAGGAACACACAGCCGGCGCACACAGGATCAGGGTTACATGGGGCCAGTGAAAGGCGTGAGACCCTAATACAAACAGCCCAAATAAACAGCCCGCAAAGCACGGAAGAGGGGAGGGGGAGGACGAGGGGTGGGGAAGTCCCTTCAAGCCTGAAGTCAGACCCTTGAGGAGCAGCGGCTGCTACGCGCCAGAGTCACGCCAGGCGTTCACGACGTGTTTGTAACACTGTAGGACAGACCCTGGAGGTTCTTGCCCACCGCTTGCAGATCAAACCATTGCTGATGACACAGCAGCCAGGACTCGCTCCCCAAAACATTGTCTGACATGCCGGGTGTGCAAAATCTGTGAAAAGTGTCAATAAACCAGCCATCAGCAAAAACTTCCCGTACTGCCCGCCACGTAACAGTGCGGAGGTAAATGCAACGTGATCATCAAATCACGTCGTTTGAAGTTTCCATTCTTTTCAACGCTCCTTTGGCCAACTCTCCTGCCCTCCAGTCACATTACCTAGTTTATCTAAACAGTAAAATGGGTTTGGAGGTTTCAAATCAGGGATCCATTAGAGAATTCTTGAATGAAAGGTTATACGTAAGTTCAGATGATTATTTTTAGAAAATATTTAACCAAGGCCTAAATTAGTTTCTAAATCTGTCCCTACTAAAAGTTCATAATAACGAACTGAGCCACCTCTGACAAACGTGGAATTTTCCCCTTTGCTAGATTTTCTTCAAAGCGCACATTTTTGGAGGACACTGAATAAAGTGTGTCAAGGGATTCTCTGCTCGCTTGCTGTCTATTTTGCTAGTGTTTGGGATTCACAAGGATAAAGCGCCCTGCGTGCGACTTTTCTTAAGGAATTTCTTCTGGTAAATCCTAAAAAGCAGCAACAATGCCATTGTCCTGTGGTATGGTCTGACGAGCTTGACAAAGGTCTTTACAGCACCACTTTGCACAAGGAGAAATACAATACAAGCAAAGAAAAGAATGCGTTTCTAGAATCCATCATGCCAGCACATAGACCTGAGATACAGAATGGGATCCAGGTCTTCCGAGTTTCACTCCTGTGGTTCAGCACATGGATGGCAACACCAACTCCAAGTCAAGTTATACTCCCATAGGAAGCCAGAAATATAAGCTTTTAATACGCTGGCAATAAGAATGAATTATATTCCCATAAAGAACCAGAAATATAGGTTTTTAATATGCTGGCAATAAGCAAGCTATAAATAACTCAAGAAATTTACTGTTTTAATTTCAAATTTCTGCAAAAACATGTTCCACTCTACTGCAACTTGGAAGCACACTCCTACGGCTCGAGCTCTGCCACATCTTGCTGCGACATCATCTGAAAGGTACCTTGGGAACTCCGCTGGTTTTTGCTACTCTTCACTTACAAATGTCCCAGTCCCTCATGTGACACAATGATAAAAAAAACTCACCATATTTAGAAATGACTGAAACAATTTTCCTCAAAAAGTTGTTAATCCAAAGCACTTAAGAACACTGCTTGCCATGTACAAACATACATTTAGCAAGGCTGCCCAATTGCTAATAATTCCATCCGAAGTCTCCCCTACTGCCTCCATGCTTTTCAATAATTAAATCAACTTTGCATTACCAGCAAACGCCTCCTCAATGACTGCCTGCACCTGCAAATGCTGTCGGGGCTCTCTCTTGTTAGCTTGCCTCTGTTTCTTAGAGAAGCCGTGCCATATAATTTGAATTCAGTGACGCTGCTATCAGTTTTACACTGATCATCACTTCATGCCTCCTCTACGCTTGTTTTCCTCCACAATTTTGTGGAGGAAATTTATCAAAAGATTTTGAAAATGCAGGCAAATTAAGCCCACTCAGCTACATTTACCTGCCATTTTATTAGCCTCTTCGCAAGTTAGCCAGCTATTGTTTTCTCCTACAGGAACTACATTAGCTTGACTGTACCAGTTGTACTTAGCCAAATTTTGTACCATTCTATTCTTAATTATACTGAATTAAAAAATGAAAGCAAGTGTATTATTATTATTATTAATTATTATTATTATTATTAGGACATTTGTTTGATAGTCAAAATCACATTTAAGAGCTTTTCAGTAACTGTGCCACCTCCATTTCCATTAATCATCTTAAAAGCAACAGTAAAAGTAGATGAACTCTGCAGCAAAAAAATTTCTTCTGCTTCAACGATGCAAGTTAAGGATTTTTTACTCAGGCCATCAGCTCTCCCTACCCTTCGTAATCACAGGTGACTAGTTTTACTTTGTGAAAATAAAGGTTGCAGGTGCCCGATTTCTTTTCTATTTGGAGTGAAAGATCACATGGCTGAACTGAAGCTTCTGTATTACAGAACTACATTATAATTACGTATGCACAGAGGAGAAATACATTTGGAGATGGGTATTACACTGCCACATGCCATTTCATTTTTGATCCACTAACTTCACCCGTAAAGCACTGTGTAGATTTAAGTAGTAACAATCTTTGGCGGCTGCAGCGCCTGGGATCTCCTTCGGGCACCAGCACGCAGCCTTTGCGGCGAGGGCAGCCTGTTTGCGACTTACCACATCGCATGCATGTACGTTGGAGGTAGACGAGGGCTGCTGACAGGGGTGCAGTTGTAAGATCTCATAATTCTTTCTGCCAAGAGAAAGTTACGAAATAAACTGGCCACAAGCAGGTCTTGCCTGAAGAGCTTCTGGAAAAGATCTGCCAAGAGATTGCATGAATTACTAGAGGCATCTTGTGACTTAAGTACCTCAGGTAATATGCAAAAATAATTTAAAACAAAAACATGTTAATATTTTATTTCGGTAACAAGGGATCTCCACCAGTTTTGCAGTGTCGTGATATGACAACTATTAAAAGGAAATCCTACCTTCTGAGTTCCCTTAAAGCATCGCAGTTACTCTCCATTTGACATTAACAGATTTAAATACCTTCTACCTCAGGTTCTTTTTTGCCTTTTCTGGATAAAATTCCCCTTCTGATGTTTCACTTAAACTCAGCCTGACTAAGTTTTTGGAAACTACTGAGAGAGAAAAGGACCTCTGTGTTCTATTTAATCAAGAATTATACATGTGTTAACTGGCAGTTTGAGGTGCTTATGAGAAGCCAAAATGAATCCTAAAAGATAGCAAATGTACCATCTTCTATAGAAGCAAAGAATAATTTATACTGTACTGAGCATTAGGAAGAGCACAGTTGGAAAACTGTTTAGAAATTTGGCCACCGGTGCTCCAGAAGTACGAATTCAAAGCAGAACAGGGGTAGGGAAACGGGAAACACAGGCTGCCCTACCAGCAAAGAGGAGAAAACCCTTTATTTATGATACTAACAAAGGCTGGAAGAAAGTAGATTGTTCTTTGCAAATACAGTAAGAAAGAAAATTATTCAAGCTAAAGCAATCATGTTGGCACTAAAAAAAACCCCTTCTGGTTTCTAATGACCAGGTTGCTGAAATGCTTCTAGTAGAAAAGAACAAATGTAAAAAATGTAACTAGCCTTAAGATCCAGTCTGATCTGTTCTTTCAATATCAGGCTTTAATTTTCTCCTATTTCAGTGTCTCATTTATCTTATTCTTCATCCTTCTACTTTGAATAAGCAATACTCACATCTGATGAAAACTTGATTCACCTGCCCAAGTCTTACCTCTAGGCAGGACATTCCATGCAATGGTGTCTGTGATAGCGGTGAAGATCCAATTCAGCTCTCCCAGAGGAGTTCTCCTGTCGTTCAGTCTTCCAGGAATCCTACAAGCAGGAGAAAAAAACAAGTAGGCTTCCTATTAATTTTTCTTTTTTTTGAGATACACATACATGCACAGCTCTAAGCCTCAATCAAGGCTCGCAAAAGACAGTATTTCCAGAAATTTAATTCTTAACCAAGAATTTATGTTGCTAGACAAACTTGCCTTATCCAAAAGCTATTACATATGAATTTGCTTGCGACATGAATTGCTAGATAAAGGACAATAAACAAGGAATTGTGTATAGATAACTGAGCTAAGGGAAGAACATTTGGGAAGGTATCACAGAGATGATGTTCATTTCTGAGAGGTGCAATGGAAATGACTTTTTCTTCAAAAGTGCCACCTTGCTTCATTTTATCCATTATTCACTTCCCGCTGAAATATTTAATAAGTACAATTTCTATTACAAACTGTATGCTCACGATCCATAACATCCCTGTGAAGAACTTTTGAGTGATCATATTCCAGAAAAAACAATCATTTTTTTAAACAGTCAGCAAGTTCAGAACGGTTAGAAAACACGGCCCTTTGGTTAAAAATTGTCTGACAGTAACGCACGCACATCACAGCTCCCTGTTGCTGCGCAGTACCGCCTGTTCACGAAGAAATACGACCCAGCAAGATTCACTTACCGTTCCAGCTAGACTATCTTCTAAGTCAGGATCAGAGCACGCACGTGCCTGCTACAGATGGTGCGGCTGCTCGTTTCTGAGGAGCACGTTTGCTCTTTCTGGCAAAGACACCGGTTTTCACCCAGTAGGCTCTTCGAAAATTTGAATTCATGAATTTAGTGCTTAGCTGTCTACAGATTTGTTGCATCTCCATCAGTACGGCATGCAGGTACATGCTAAAAAAGGTATTGAGCAGCAGCTTTTCATTCAAATAGGAGAAGTTTTCTGCAAGAACTCTACACTGAATACAGAGGCATCCACGGAAATCAGCAACTTGAACGCCAGTTCCTTAACTTAATTTAAGATTACTGCATTGCCCCACAGAAACTCAACAGCAAAAGACACGTTCTTTCTAACTTCTATAAATAGGGCATTACTAAATCCAGAGTGAAAAACATCACTTTGAAAAGCACCTTCTAACCAACAAAGCAAAACGCTGCTGAACGCTGCACTCCGGAGCCCTCCTATCGCAAAGTCACGGCACGAACGGTGGCACCACGCTTTACCCCGCTGGCGATATGCAAGATTTGACGCTTGTCTAGAAAGAAGTATTTACTTAACCCAGGTTTCGGCGTAGCGGTAGTCTACACGTGCTGTGTGGAGTCCCTTCATAACCCTACCCATTTGTGCCACGGGTAGGATTATGGTAAGGGTAGGAAATAAACCACAATTATTTTCCTTCTATTGTGTGCCTGGAGCACAAGCCTTCTGAGGAGCGGCTGAGGGAACTGGGGTTGTTTAGTCTGGAGAAGAGGAGGCTGAGGGGAGACCTTATCGCTCTCTACAACTACCTGAGAGGGGGTTGTGGCGATGAGGGTGTTGGCCTCTTCTCCCAAGGAACCAGCGATAGGACAAGAGGAAATGGCCTCAAGTTGCGCCAGGGGAGGTTTAGATTGGATATTAGGAAAAATTTCTTCACCGAGAGAGTGGTCAGGCATTGGCACAGGCTGCCCAGGGAGGTGGTGGAGTCACCATCCCTGGAAGTGTTCAAAAAACGTGTGGATGTGGCACTTCAGGACATGGTTTAGGGGACATGGTGGCGCTGGATTAATGGTTGGACTTGATGATCTTGAAGGTCCTTTCCAACCTAGTGATTCTGTGTTCTTCCCTTCACCCCCCAGGGAAACGAATTCCTTCCCCCTGCAGAGCCAGGGGACTGAGGGCACGGCGTGCGAGGGAAGCAACCAGCAGGCGCTGCTGCTGCAAGCTCTTCCGCGACCCTCAGCATCTCGTGGTCTCCCTCCATCTGGCCCATAGGCACATCTACCTGGCCTGCAACTGGGAATGCAGTTTCAACCCTGGAGAATATCAAAATTCTGTCAGCAATACATATCAGGAGTCTATTTGTGGTGTGGTAAGGTACTAAAAATGCTGCTAATTTTATTAAATATTTTGAAGTAGAAAAAAGTAGCACTAATCAGTATCAGGGATGGTAGCTTTCCAAACAGCGAACCATTCTTGTCCCTGCTCACGCATAGGACATGCGGTGAAAGCGAGCAAAGGGCAGCAGTTTAGGGGTTTTTTAAGATTATATTTTAGATAGGCAAAAATAACTCAAATCATGCAAAAAGCTGCAATATTGCTACAGACACACCCTTCTTCAAACAAAGCAAAAGCAGAGGGCCAACTAGCGATTCTACTGGGATAATCCAGCAGCATCTTACATAAGCATTTAATAAATAAAGACTTAAGTGCATTACCTTAAAGCCAGAGGGTTGTTATAGTATACATAAGTAGTGTGGGACTGAAGTAATATTTTGGTTTGTCACAGCAAAGGCCTTTCTGTGACTATACCTGTGCACACACCACCACACACATGTATGTGTGTATGTATTTTGGCTATAAGACAACTGTGTTTAATGGAAAATTCTAAGAAAACCCGAGTCGTTAACCCCTCTCTGAAAATCACTGGCATCAGTACAGAAGTTCCTTAAATCTGTCGTTCTCAAGTTTCACAGCGATACGCTCACTATGTTTTTAACAGCGATATCTATACACAAAAGGAACTTTGCTGTGAAGTTTCCACATGGCATGAAGACTCATCAAGTAGTAAAAAACAGAAACAAAAAATAACCCCCTCCAGAGAAACACCAGTTTACCTAGGCAATCCCTAAGCCTTATGGGATGGTAATGGACAGGCACGAGCATGGATCCTTATCACAAGAAAGCAGCACAGCAGCGTGTCTTGTACGAGGCAGCGAGCAGCGGACTGAGAGGTGGTTTCGCCTTGTGTTGCTGAGGCTGATACTAGAATGTTTTGCCCAGCATTCACATTTAGGAATTCATTTAACCTTCTTAAAAACAGGACATACAAAATACAGAAGGTGCAGAAAAAGCTTAAAAGAAAAAAAAATACAGTGAATGGATGTCATACAGTGAGAAATTTACAGTCGTTCCATCTACCCTACCAAGGAACAACTTGAACGTTGCGGATAAACACCTACAAGAGAGAAGAATCTTGGTGCCAACAAATGCTTTATACAAGTGGAGAAAGAAAGAAGACCACTTGACCATTAAAAGAAAGGGAAGCAATTAAATCTTCAGCTTTCAAAGGTTCAATACACCAGAGACAACAGCCTGACTGAAACACATCCAGTGAAGGTGGAAGAGCAATGTGCACCAGGCATCCTGCTGATCCAGGGTCTTGCTTTTGTAGACTGAAAAAAAAAAAAAAAAATCACCCAAATTTATTTCATCCAGGAGCTGAACCAAGATCTCATACTGTATTTGTTCATCTGTAATACGACATGAGGTGCACAGGAACTACAGGACCAACAAGCAGTCTGATTTCTGTGATTCAAGAGACCAAACAACAGTCTACCATGGCTCAAAATCAACACAGGCACAACACTACTTAAAGGAAAAAAAGCGGCTGTAAACTGTTCTTCGGTATCTCTCAGCTTCTGCCTTCAGCCTGAGCAGCTTTCCTACATATGCTTTCTAATGCTTATTTGCTTCTCATGAAAACAAAAACAAGAAAAGAAGGAGAAAAAAAAAACCCAATCACCCAACAAATCAAGACCAGCAGACTCAGTCCTGGGCTGCCTTACCAATAGCCAGACACTCAAACAGACGCAAACAGACTTTTTTCCCCTTGAGAAAGTATCAGAGATAGGATGGGGAAGTTTCAGAAACACGCACCCAGCCCAGTACGACATCCTACAGATTTAATCCTAACGCACCCTAGCTTCCCTTCTGTAACAAGCTTTGAAATATTAAAAGTACCAAGACAAAGTACGCGAAGCAAGCCTTTTCTCTACGGCAGCTTACTCTTCCGCTATGTATAGCGGTATTATTTCCATGCATGTTCAAGACAAAGCGTATTCCCTTGGATAAATACAGTTTCTGAAACAGCTAGAAATTAACATCTTACAAAAAATTCCTGTCTGTGTCAGTATCAGCGGAAAAATACACATCTCCAACACAGTGTTGGTTAACTGATCCCCCAGAGCAAGCAGAGGGACACAAGGCCACACAACTGCTCTTGTGAGGATTTCACACAAATATTTGCATTGCAGAACACCCTCTGCAGCAAAATAGCAGCATTTCGTAAGTCAGAATTTTATTAATTAGAAACCAAAGGATCCTTGCCGAGATTCCCCAGCAAGCCAAATGCCGAGTTTAATCCATTTGATGGCCACTTCCAGGTGACGGTCACTTTGCGGTTTTCAGTGGGAACAGAAGTAGGGTACTTGACCGTAGCGTTAAAAACTTTACACCGGATGGAGTTCTGCACACAGTTCACGCTAAATTCTCTCTATTGAATGCAGATTGTGAGTTGACACATATCTCACTGATGGTATTAATCAGGAATGACAGGCTGAAATCCAAAGTTGCTGCTAGCAGTCCAACCTTCGAAACTCCTTGTGACTTGAATATCTACTTTCTTAGGGAACAAGGTATGCTGCTTATTTCTGCATTTAAAGATTTAAAATAACTACTCATTAGTAGAGTACAGATTTTATCTTGGATTTTAAAATGCATTTGGTATTTTTTCACAACACAATTGTCCTTTCTAAGGCTGACTGCAAGATTCGTAGAAAACAGAGCTACCTACGAGGGACGGCAGTCAAGAAGCTGAAATTAATAGGATGTCATTCTCACATCTTACATGACATTGGGCCAGTTCATTTTCTTTCTGCCCTCGTATATAGTCCGGAAGATACTAATTTTGTACCTAGCTCCAGCATTGTGAAGATTAACGCTGTTCACCGCTTTGAAAACCTATGAATTAGGTGTTAATGGTGAGGGCAGAGAGCGCGTGGGGAATAGCGCAAGAATGAAAGGCAATACATTTCCACAACTGCACAAAACCCTACCAGATTTTGAA